CAGATGAATCTCGTTGAAGGGTACCAAAATAGACATATTCAATACGCTGAAGTGATTCAAGCTGATTGCTGGATGCATAAGGGAATTAACAGCTGAATGAACGGATGAAGCGAAACAAAACCTTAATAGCAGCAATAATCATATCAGTTCGTCTTGTATCGAGCGCTAAACCGATCACGTATCGCAACTCTTTACGTTTCATATTTCGTTCGAAAATACGATTGATTAATTTTTCGAGAGATTCGTCTATGTTACTTCCGCTTCGTTTCGCTTGTTTGTAAGTATCCAGCGCATGTTCAATCATTTTGTTCACATACTGAAAGAAGACACAATCAGCACATACACGATGGCATCAATCTGATGACAGAGGAAATGCTCGATTTGTAAACACTCAATTACTTTAGTATTACAAGCTAAACGAGCATTTCTGATGAAAATTTATTTACATTTTTTCATATCTGAGAAGCAGGCTCCCTCTAATATTGCGATGGACCGTACACTGGGTACAGAATAAGATAGCTCAAAAATCACATCATAAAATGCTACTAATGAAAATAAAATAGCGTCAAACCTGCTCATCTTGTGATCCAACAAGATTGGACGGCGGTCGAGGCGTAAGTTGAAACTTATCACCGGCAGCTAGAGCAAGCTGTAAGGCTCCGCAATAATCACCGAGACAATAAGCTACCTATAAAATCAACTTCTCGCCATAATTGAAATTATTCAACTAAAATGATACTCACACCTGACTGATATATCAACCAACAACAAATATCACGTTCACTCAGAAAATGTAAAGTCCGAATAAGTTAGCGATCACTTTCATGTCGTATGTATTTCATATTAGAGACTGCAGAAGTTTCCGCTAAATCTTACTTTAGTTTGCAACATTACCAAATAAGAGGAATTTCGTTTCGTTGCTCGTCAACTCGTCAACAATTACAAGAAATTCAAGAAAGTTTAGCGGAAATAACCTTGGAAGCGACGAGTGCGGCACGATGTCTCTCCTTGAAGTTTTCGTTTTCATGCAACTGCTCGATAACACTAACATAATCGGCCACTTCAAACCACGTTGGTGTGAGCACGTCCCAATCATCCAGCGCTTCTATTATCAACTCTTTCTCACGCATCGGCGACGTCCCACTTTCTAGAGCCAACAAAAATGCACCTGAAAATTTGTTGTTATAAAAGTTCACATTTATTCGTTCTTCGAATCAGCCAATTTTCGAGTTTAAAAATGGAGTAATTCGAACAAATAATGAAATTTTTTCTTTCCGTCGAAGATATCAAATTCCTTACTCGCATCTTGTGCTCCACCCGGTTGTTTTCTCCATTGATTCAGCAGGAACAAAGTCATC